TATATATATACGTATATATATGTATATATATATATATATATATATATATATATATATATATATATATACATGTGTGGGCGGCGACACGCGCGCTGCGCTCCAGAGAATGTTGTGGGCGCGCATATATATATTTTTCTCCCCCCATATATGTGTGTGTGTGGGCGAGAGTATTTTAAAAAAAATAGGGGGGCTTGGGTGGCGCGCGCGCGTGAAAATATCTCTCTATACACACTCTCTCTTTTTTTGCGCGGGGGGGGCGCGCGATATATATCTCACACACACACACTCTGCGCTTGTGTGTCTGCGTCTCTCTCACCAGAGGGGGGGGGTATATTATATATATATATATATATATATATATATATATATATATATATGTGTATATATATATATATATATATATATATATATATATATATATATATATATATATATATATATATATATATATATATATATTCATCAATGGTATATATATAGACACTAATTAAGATTAGTGTGGAATTTTTTAAGCAGAGTGATTCCCAGGAGTGTTTATAGCTCAAAGCGAGAGTGGAGGTTCTACACCACTCTCTGAGGTATTTAATTAAATAAAATAATTAAGAGAATTATTCCCACTAATTAATTTCCTAAAATAAATATTTATATTATAATTGGAATTAACTAGAATATATATTAAAGATTAATTGTTTAATTAATTGATTAATCAGGCATCTTTTAGGAGAAGACTTGGGTATGTTTGGGCCAAAGGAGCTCGATCAACTTGAATGTGCGTTAGATACATCTTTGAAAATATATATATATATCATATATATAAATTACTCACTTCTATATATATATATATATATATATATATATATATATATATATATATATATATATATATATATATATATATATATATATATATGTTTGTTGGGGTTTTGGTTGTATGATTTATTATATCCTTAAATGCTGCAGACTCAACATATGTTTGAACAACTTTCTGGTCTTCAACAAAAGGTATGTAATTAATTATTGTGGAGAAAATAAATTAATTATTTATGTTTTCGAAAAATAAATTGTAGCGATCGAACTTATTGACGAATTCATTGTTTTCGCAGGAAAAGGATCTAATGGAGGTTAATATGGCTCTGAGAAGCAAGGTAAACAATAAAATATAAAATAAATAAATAAATAAATAATAACACGAAAAAAAAGGACCTACTAATTAACTTGATTACGAAAAAACAGAAATCGAACTCGATTTATTTACATAAATTATTATGTAATTGTTGCAGCTTGAAGCAACTAGTGTACCATTACAAGAAACAATGCAACAATTAGGTGAAAACGACTTAGCAAATCGGGCCGGGCCTGCTCGGCCTCTGGTGTTCTTTGAGCCGCTTGACAGAAACAACACGTCTCAAATTCGGTATATATATATATTAATTTTTTTTAATTCTTAATTATATTTTGGCTTGCATGGTAAATAAAAAAATAATATTAATCATGTTTTTATTCGGAGAATTATTTTTTTCGACAGATACAACTCTCTGCAGGGACCAAATAACAATAATGCAGCAGGAACAACAGAGAATACAAATAGGATGCTGCTGCCTGGATGGATGCACTAAATCCTAATAAATTATTGCAAAAAAAATAATAAATAAATAAATTATGTGGTAGAATTTATTAAATGAGGTATGGTGAAATTATATTATTAGCTATCTAAAATATTAATGGACTGAACTAAATATATATGATATATGAAATATGTTGACTGAGGATCGATTTTATGTATTGTGAAAAACCTCAAAAAATAATGAGTGTACTATTTAATAATGTGAGCTTATGTAATTTGTTGTCCAATATTTGCATACACCAAAAATAAGTTCAAATTACAAATAGTTTGTAAATGTCTTACATCTACCTCTTATAAAAGGGTTTTAGTGTAAGAAATTTATAAGTTGTAGGAGTAGATGTGATTATGGAAAAATGAGGGGGTTTTTTGTTAATAGACATTACCTCAAGGGGTGGTTGTAACTTACCTTTGTTAAATCCTTGTTATTATTCAGTATCTAGTACCTTCACACATTTTTACTACACAAATTTATTGTCCCTTTTTTTCACAATAGTAAAACATTTCTAATTTTTTTACTTGAGGGGTATTTTTGTCATTTGATAAAAAAGTTACGAACCTTGCTATGAAGAGTCGATCGGTTAAGGGTCTACATCTTTTGAATTGTGAACTGTCGGTTTCGACCGATGATCCAACGTATCATTTTGCATACTATGCCGATGCAGTGGTAAATGTCATGAACTTACACATGTATTTTTACTACACAAATTTACTGTCCGCCCTTTTTTCATAATAGTAAAACATTTCTAATTTTTTTACTTGAGGGGTATTGTTGTCATTTGATAAAAAAAAGTTACGAACCTTGATCCGAAGAGTCGATCGGTTAAGCGATCTACATTTTTTGAACTGTGAACTGTCGGTTCCGACCGATGATCCGACGACGTACCATTTGGCATACTATGACGATGCAGTGTAGACACGGCCGCGGGTCGGGTCGGGTCCGGGTCCGGGTCGGACCCGCCGGGTCCGGGTCCTACTTTTTCGGGACCCGAAACCGACCCGCATGGGTCCGGGTCCGGGTCCGGGTCGGGTCCACTCGGGTCCGTCCGGGTCCGGGCCGGGTCCGGGTCCAAAACGGTTCTTGAATTTTTTAATTGAATTTCCGGGTCGGGTCCGGTTCGGGTCCGGGTGGACCCGAGTTTATAGCCGTTGAAATTAAAAAAAAAAAAAAAATTTGAAATTTTCGGGTCGGGTCCGGTTCGGTTCCGGGTCGGGTCCGGGTGGACCCGAGTTTATAGCCGTTGTAATTTAAAAAAAAAAATTTTTTTTTGAATTCCCGGACCGGGTCCGGGCCGGGTCCGGTTCGGGTCCGGTTCGGGTCCGGTTTATAGCCGGTGCATTTTTAAAATTTTGAAAAAAAAATATTTTTTTATTCGGGTGGACCCGACGGGTCCTCGGGTCGGGTCCTCGGGTCCGGGTCCTCGGGTCCACCCGCCGGGTGGACCCGTCGGGTCTCGGGTCCTAAATATCGGGACCCGAAACCGACCCATACATTTTCGGGTCCGGGTCCGGGTCCATGGTCAACGGGGCGGGGCCGGGGCGGGGCGGGGCGGTCGCCGGGTCGGGTCCGGGTCCGACCCGGCCCGTGGCCATGTCTAATGCAGTGGTAAATGTCATGAACTTTTTTAGAGATGAATAAAAATATGAGTTATCTAATTTTAGTATTTGATTTTTATTTATTTATTTATTAGCAAATTTATTCTTAAATAATAAGATAATTATAATTTTAGGTCATAAAAAATAATATTGTGAAGATTTCTTCACGAGGCTAAGTTTTAGACTGGGGGTATTTTTGTCATTTGAGAGTATGCACTTTCCATGAACAGCTCGTGCCTTGTCATTGTTCCGTGATAGTGATTGGTAATGAACCAGCAATAAATATTGCAAATGGCATTCAATAGTTACCACTACACACATTTAATTATATGAAAATATAAATATAAAAAAAAAAAAGCAAAATAAATTTAATTTCATTTAATAGTAGGCCAGTTATCAACCTCCTGCGACAAATATGTCAAAATAAAATAAATAAATAAAACAATAATTTAACGATATAAATAAAATAAATCTTATTTAAGGTTGACATGTAGACATAATACCTGTTAAAAATAAATTCACTTTCATATCTACTTAAGTAGTGAAGCGACTAATCAAAATTGTTAAACATAGTTATATAATTGACGATGCAACTTACGTATTTTAAACGTAATTAGCCCAAGTTGGTATTAATAAGAATTAGGGCACAAAAATTAGGGCTCAATTTGAGTTAAGTTTACACATTAAACCTTGTAGGTGTGGGTTTCTTTGGGGAAAAAGGAATAGGGCAACCTATAACTAAATCATAAATCAACTTAAAGAGTTAAGACTTTAGATAATAACAACGACGACGACGACGACGACGACAACAACAACAACAACAACAATAATAATAATAATAATAATAATAATAAGGGTAAATTACAAACACCCCCTGAGGTATGGTCAAATTACAAAAACACCCCTCTTGTTTGGATAATTACAACCACCCCCTCAACTCCTCAAATTTAGTGAAATCTTCGAGATTATATGGAATATTATCATTTTTGTATCCGTTTTATCTCATTCAAACTCTACATTATGAAGCAAGATGACCAAAACTAGAGCACATTTCACGGAATCTAGATGATTATGTTAAATTTGGCACCATAAGGGTGGAGGTGTAAGAAAAACTCATAGTTGAGGGGGCTAGATGTAACTATCCAAACAAGAGCGCTTTTTTTGTAATCTGACCATACCTCAGGGGGTGTTTGTAATTTACCCTAATAATAATAATAATTATTATTATCCTATTGTATATTATGTCAGCAACGAAAAGTTTAGTAGGAGAGTACATTTAGGGATGGCAACTTGCCCAGCCCCAATTCGATCCGATCCGAAATTCTCCGGTGTTACCTGTCCCAAAAAATATGGGGCGGGAATCAAGATTGACAACAAAATTTGACCAGGTACGGGGACGGGTTTGTATATTATAACTAGATTGTATTTTAATTATAAAAATAAATAATAAAAAAAATGGAAATTTTCCGGGCAGATATCGGTCGATATTTTACAAGACGAGTTCGAGGATCCCAATTCGTAAAATTTGGAGATTTGAACGGGATGCCGATAGACGATTCTAGAACGTGGCGGTGACGAGGATTGCAAAACCCGCCCCATCCCGCCCTATACACTAACTCGGTGAAGTCACGCGAGAACCACCAAACTTCTATTCATTGACCAAATTAATTTCTTCGAAAATATTTCAATGGTATATTAATTATACGAATTGAAAAACAGAGCTAATAATTAATGCATTAAACTTCGTTAACATTATTATTAATTTCTGCTGCTCCACATTTTCTCAGCCTCTACTGCTACATTCATTACCCTGTTTATTCTCAAATGACGCATTTGCCCTCATATGAGCATTAATTATTATTTAAAATGCGTATTTACTTCAATATATACAAGTTATTTCCAAGTTGTAGAAATCCACTATTAGCTATTTTTTCTTCATTTGGATGTTCATTGATAAGACCATATATACTGAACTGTAACAAAATTTCAGTACTTAGAAAATTTGCACTGTTTACCGAGCAAAACTATTATGTTCGGTAAACCAATTAATTCTTGAATTTGAAATTCACATTTCAATAATCGGTCGTAAAAGAAAAACGAAACTATATAAGTACCAATAAATTCTTGTTAGACGGTAAAATTAAAATGTGGAAGTATCTATGTATATATTTAGGTTGCGCGACAGTAAATTTAAGTTCCGACAGTAAAAAAAATATAGTATATTTGTTGGAATTTATTTTCTCATTCAGACTCCGACTCGACCGGTGCAAGTCGCATGCGTGCACTGAAAAGCCCACGATAGAGCTATAACTATCAGGTCTTGCAACTTCCAAGACTCGAGTTGGACTACGGTAAAAAGAATCTCAATATAGTTAACGCAATAAACTAAACTAATTGGTTACCGTATACAACTCTCTCGTTTGAATTGTGATTGTTATTATTCGAATTACGTTGGAAAGAATAATATAACTCTTCAACATCGTATTTGTACAAGAAATCCACCACTTTCGGAACCTACAAATATGTGATATCTTTCTCATAATAAGATGAGTGCTATTTTGTGATTAATTAAGCTTTTTTGCTTATATTGCAACGATTTTCTGACTTGAGCTTGTAGGACAATCGTCGGACCAAACCCTGCGTGTTACTTAGTATTTTTCAAAATTATTTTGTAGGTTAACATGCAGATTCATCCCTTCGACATTTGAGCAGCATCACAAATAAAATTTACAAGTTCAAATATTTTTTATAAAGTTTATTCGCATATACCGAGGGGCGGAATTCTGTAAAGAAATTATGAATTCCGACGATTCCAATCACACAAAAAACTCCAATTTTGGAATAATATTCCTCGTTTCAAAATTTGAAAGTTCTGATTTATGACTTTTTCTTTAATTCCAAAAAATAACACTTACAATATCGATTTTATTATGTATTTGTGAATTACCGAATCCCGCCAATTTTGATTTTGAAACAAGTTTCTCACTTCCAATTTCTAAAATTTCGATTTCCGATATCTTCGATTCTAAACAAGTCATTTCGCTAGTCCTAATTCCGATCCGGTCCGTCCCATTTCCACCGGTATCGAAAGGAACAGTTATTAATTATCCCTCATCATTTTCCTCCTCCCAAAATAAATTCTTGGGCACAGAAGTTATAGCCAAGATGCCCTAAATTAAGATCTCTACAACAATGCCAGCCAATTTCCTAGGGACCACTAATTATTGAAAGAGACAATACACTAAATATCGAATGTGTGACAAATTAAGGATGTTACCGTTACCGTACAATTTTTTCGAACATGGGCCTACCACATTTCGGCCATTTTTTGTGTGCATAAATAAAATCCCAATAACCTTAGATATAAAGGCCAATTCTTCAAATGGTAAAAATGTAAATTGAATCGAACACATAAGATGCCAAATGCTTGCTGAGTGGGAATTATTGAAACAAAAGCAGGGAAATAAATATTGAAATCGTGTTTTTCACACAGTAATAAATCACATCAATGTGCGCTTTATTCAGTACAAATTCCTGTATCAACCATTTCTGCTGACATTAAGAAAATTGGTGTAATGCCCGCATGGGTGTAGCTCAACTGGTTCCGGAGGTGGTAAGTTGGTGCAAGGTCCTAGGATCGAATCCTGGCAGCCGCAGTGTGGGAATTTCAACTCCAATGAGTTGGTTCCTTGTGGGCACCAGGTCCGGGTCCGCTACCTTAACGGGCCGTTGAGTTACCATGATTTACATTCCTCCATCAATCCTTGTCGGGCCAAGGGATGGGGGCCCTGGGGGCGAGGGATTTCGCCTTTTGGTGCAAGAAAATTGGTGTAATGTTTAGTAGTCGTGCTTTTAATGATTCTGCCCTCTAAAGTTTATTTGGTTAAGGAAAATATTTTTTTTCAAATTCAGTGTATTCTCGATAAATTAATAATATTGCTTAAATAATATTTTTTTTCCACCTTCGATTCAGTAAAAACGTATTAAATTATAAGTTGTCACCCCCTGAGGTAATTTCAAATCACGGAAAAACTCTCTTATGTTTGGGTAATACAACCATCCCATCAATTATGAATTTTCACGACCACACTTACGATGTCAAATTCAACATAATCTTCTAGATTCCGTGATTTTTTCTCTGATTTGTACTCGTTTTGTGCGAAAATTCAGTTTATGATGCACCACAATCTAATATTTATAAGCCTCGAGACACGTATGATGATCTTGTTTTAAAATGTGGAGCTTGAATGAGGTAAAACCTATACAAATTTGAGAATATTCCACATAATCTAGAAGATTTCATTAAACTTGACATCGCAAGGGTGGACATGTAAGAAAATTCATAGTTTGGGGTGGATGTAATTACTCAAACATGAGGGATATTTTCATAATTTGATGTTACCTCAAGGGCGTGGCCATAATTTACCCTTAATAGTTCGATAGTTTAATATTTCGCTAAATTAATAAAATTTGATGATTCCAATTGTATTAATTTATAAAGGTTTAACAGTAACTGGATATGAAGACGTTCAAATATTATTATGAAAATTATGAGACCATTTTAAGAGTCAGTTTAACTAAACTTATTTAAAATATCTTATAAGCTCTTACATCTGATAAGATGTTTTAAGAGTTGATAAGTTGTTAAAAATTAAATTATCATGACCTTAACAAATATCTCATAAACCATCAAAAGTTCAATTTTCTACTTAGAACAATTATAAGATTTTCATACATATTAAGTATTAAAGTTATACATGTAAAAATTTGGAATTTTTTTATGTATGATCTAATTCAGATATTTTATATTATCTAATTAAAGTT